ACCACTGGACTAGGCCATACCCACCCAGCAACCAGGCAGAGAACCCCTTGCTTAAATTTTTGAAGCCCACCTCTGGGTACACGCAGGACTAACTTTACACGCAGAAAACTCTCGGTTTGATTCCTAGTATATCCAGTGATAAAATGATGTTGTACAGCAGCAACAAGAAAGAAAATTCAGGCAGAAGATCCTCAAGATAGGTGGTCCTTGACGTATGACCACAATGCGGATGAATTTCTGTTGCCAAGGAAGGCGTTCTTAAGTGAATCGTGCCCAATTTTTTTTACCTCATTTTTTGCTAATTTTGTTGCTTCTTTTTGCGTCTATGGAAATTCTCAGTCATCCAGGTTCATGGTTGTCCCAAAGGTGCTTTTTCAAGAGGCAACTGGATTTTCTTGGTTTTTCTTTGAAGACATTTCGCTTCTCATTCGAGAAGCTTCTTCAGTTCTGACTGGATGGTGGGGAATGGAAGGATTTATGTTCCTTGCAGACAGCTGGTCATTTGCATTCTTTTAGAGCAGTGTTTCTCAACCTTGGAAGCTTGAAGATGGGTGGACTTCAATTCCCAGAATCCCCCAGCCAGCAGCGCTGGCTGGGGGATTCTGGGAGTTGAAGTCCACCCATCTTCAAGCTTCCAAGGTTGAGAAACACTGTTTTAGAGAGTCGTTGAGGCCACTTGGAGGTTTGTCTGTGTCCTCAGGGTCACCTGAATAGTGCAGATGGATGTGGATCCTTCTTGGCCTCCAAGTGACCTCAACAACTCTCAGAGGGAATACTAATGACCAGATGACTGCAAGGAATATAAATCCTTCCATTCTCTACCATTCAGTTAGAACTGAAGAATCTTCTTGGATGAGAAGCGAAACGTCTTCAAAGAAAAATGAAAAAAATCCAGTTGCCTCTTGAAAAAGCACCTTTGGGTCTTTTTGCCAAGGTTCTTCAGCAAAACCCTGCAGTTGTTAAGTGAATCACGTGGTTGTTAACCAAATCCAGCTTCCCCCATTTATTTTGCTAGTCAAAAGCCAGCCGGGAAAGTCACAAACGATGTCCATTTGACCCTGGATGTCATCATAACTAGACACGAGTTGCCAAGGGGCTGAATTTTGAACATGGCATGGAGATGGTGCAACGGTCAGAAGTGCGAGGATCAGTCGTAAGTCACCTTTTTCCAGAGCCGCTGTCATTTTTGACTGGTCACTAAATGAAGGGTTGGGTGTGATTCCCTTAACCAATGGAAATTCTGATCCCAGTTATGGTTGTTACGTGAAGGACTACTACCAGGGGCGCAGTTTATTTGTAGGACTTATCAGATCGGGACACTAGAGGGCAGCAAATATTGAAAACAGAATTATTCTGACCCCTTGTGGTCATTCAGGAGTATGCACCCAAAGTCTGATTTTGGTATGAATGCCATTTCTGATCTCCAGCGGTTCTTCCGTGAGCTTATCCCGGCTGAAGCCTCCAAAACGGTTTGACTACAAGACACGCGAGCTTCACTCAGCACAGCTGTGCCGCCTGGGAACCATGGGACGTGTAATCCAACATAGCTAGGAAGCACCCAGCTGGAGGCAGCCCCATTCACCGTCCCTCAAACGTGGATGACGTTATTACACCCAGGGTCTCACCACTGTCATTTACTACACCTCAGTCTTGTAATACTCCGTTATTTTCCAATTTAATTCACTAACATTTGTCAAAATGCTGAGATTCTCTTCGGAGGGACGGTTCTGTAGCACCAAAGCAGGTTATTATCTTCAAGGAGAGGCAGGTGGAAAAACAGTATTTTGTAGCAGAGAGCCTACTCAGGTAACTATTGGCTACTTTTCATTAATTTTGGGTGACAGATGTAGTTGACTTGAGACGCGCGTTGCCTTCACTTACGTTCAACTTTTTATCTTTCTTCTTCCCAAAATCCAAACAGCCGTAATGGCTGCAAATCTATCTCAGCATCAAATCACCTCTATCGATGCTTTGCTAGGTGGGGAAAAAAAAGTATCGTCTATTTATCGTCGCTATATTAAGAGAGTTGCCAGAAGGTGACAAGAAAAGATGCAGGGATAAGGCAGTCAAGGCATCGGATAGGATGGAGGAGGGTCTGTGCGCGCGCACACACACACACAAACACACACACACACACGAGATACAGACAGGGGTGGTATTCACGTACTTTCCCTACCGGTTCGCCAATGTGAGCCCATGCGCCCCGTCCACACATGCGCCTAGTCTTTCGTGCATGTGTTTTGCTGGCACGTGTGCCTTCCGTGCATGTGCCCAGTCTCAGAAACGAGTCTAAATAGGATGGCATAGAGCTGGGGCCGGTGGGCGGACCCACCAGCAATTTCCGCTACCAGATCGGACGAAACGGTCTGAACCGGCTGAATACCACCTCTGGTTCGCAAATGTGAGTGCACGCACTTCATCCATGCATGTGCCCAGTCTTTTGTGCATGTGCTTTGCTGGCGCACGTGCCTTCCCCCTATGTGCCCAGTCCCAGAAATGAGCCTAAATAGGATGGCATAGAGCCGGGGCAGGTGGGCGGGCTCACCAGCAATTTCTGCTACCGGTTCAGGCAAATTGGCCCGAACTGGCTGAATACCATGTCTGGATACAGGTAGTCCCCGATTTACGAGCACAGTTGAGCCCAAAATTTCCGTGGAGAAGTGAGATATTTATTAAGTGAGTTTTGCTCCAATTTACAACCTTTCTCGCCAGTGCAGCTGTAAAGTTAGTATCACGGTTGTTAAGTGAATCTGGTCTTCCCCATCGACTTTACTTGTCAGAAGGTCGCAAAAGGGGATCCCGTGTCACCAGGACTGCAACTGTCATGAATACGGAGTTTGCCAAGCGTCTGAATTTGGATCATCTGATTCTGGGGATGCTGCAACAGTTGTTAAAACAGTCATAAATCATTTTTTTCTGGGCTGCTGTAACTTCGAATGGACACTAAACAAAATGTCGTAAGTCAAGGACTACCTGTACAACTGTCACTCATCCGTTCACGGGGTGCAAGGACCTAACAATGAGATGTTGCGGCCATGATTTGCCCATCGTGGTCTACCTCAAAGCAGAACAGTTTCTCATATAGAAATTATCTTTTTGAGCCAGAAAGAAGGAATAGCCATAGCACTTAAGACTTATATACCGCTTTACAGTGCTTTTACAGCCCTCTCTAAGTAGTTTACAGAATCAGCCTATTGCCCCCAACAATTTAGGTCCTCATTTTACCCACCACTGAAGGATGGAAGGCTGAGATTTGAACTGCCAAATTGCAGGCAGCTGGCAGTCAGCAGACGTAGCCTGCAGTACTGCCCTCTAACCACTGCGCCACCGTGGCTCATAGGAAGGAAGGAGATTGACAGGAAGGAGACTGTCCAGGGGATTCTGGGAGTTGAAGTCCAAAAATCTTAAAGTGGCCCAACACTGCTCTGCACAAGAAGGCTCCACACCCATTTTGCATTATTCAGATGACCCAAAGGGCACAAATAAACCTCCAAACAGCCTCAGTGACTCTCAGAGGGAGTACTAACGACCAGAGGACTGCAAAGAATATAAATCTTTCCATTCTCCACCGTTCACTCAGAACTGAAGACGCTTCTGGGATGAGAAGCGAAACGTCTTCAAGGAAAAACAAACAAAGCCCAGTTGCCTCTTGCAAAAAACACCTTTGAGACCGTGCACGAGGGGAATTTTTATGGATCTTTGCAGGCTGAAGAGGAAGATGTTAAAACTGCTATCAGCCAGAGGAAAGACAGATGTTTACCCCGATCCTCAAGGGAAGGCGAAGTAGCACTGAAGCACGCGAGGGTCTTAAGGCCTGTACCTTACAACAGCCGACAGATGTAAAACACCGTCATTATGCACAGCTGCAGAGCTCAGCAGCTCCTTGCTTATTGCTGGTGGTTTCTCAAATGCATCTCTTGCCAAGAGAGTCCGGCAAGGCCGAATCCCAAAATCCCAGGTAGTGATAATGATTCCTTTTGAGGCAGTGTGAACAACTGTGTCAAATGCCTTCTAGAACAGGTGTGCCAAACTCAAGGCCCGCAGGCCGGATGCAGCCCGCGATGTGGTTGGATGTAGCCCGCTATGTGGTTAGATGCAGCCCGCAATGTGGTCGGATCCGGCCTGCTGGGCCGTCCTGGTCTACCCAATGCGATGAGGGAAGATTAGGCCAGCGTAGCTTCGGCCTGGTCTACCCAGTGAGAAGAGGAAACATGCCAGCCGTTTGGGGAGTGGCGTCAAGTTGGAATAATATATATGAAATATTGATTGTTTTAAAATGACAAAGATTTGGAATGATGTCTATTTGGAAATAATTGTTTAGAATTTAGGGTGACATAGTAGAATGTCTAAAATCTAAATGTTTAGAATAATTGTTTTTCTTTCCTTTTTTTTTTTTTAAAGATGTAAACGGATAAAATTTGGAACAAAATTGGTTGAGGGAATATGAGTAATTGTAATTTACTTTATACCGGATCAAATCCTCGCTCTAAAAAGATGTATTTTATGTTTTATGTTTTAAAAATTAAAAAAAAAAACTTTTCAAAAAAAGAAAGAAAAGAAATTGAGTTTGACACCCCTGTTCTAAAAAGGTATAGGTTCCCCTCACACATATGTGCTAGTCGTTCCCGACTCTAGGGGGCGGTGCTCATTTCCGTTTCAAAGCCGAAGAGCCAGCGCTGTCCGAAGATGTCTCCGTGGTCATGTGGCCGGCATAGCTAAACGCCAAAGGCGCACGGAACGCTGTTACCTTCCCACCAAAGGTGGTCCCTATTTTTCTACTTGCATCTTTTACCTGCTTTCGAACTGTTAGGTTGGCAGAAGCTGGGACAACTCACGGGAGCCCACCCTGTTTCGCGGCACTAGGGGATTCGAACCGCTGAACTGCCGACCTTTCGATCGACAAGCTCAGCATCTTAGCCACTGAGCCAACGCGTCCCTAATTCTGCAACACCCCTGTTCTAGAACAACATTAATATCCAGAGGGAGAGAAGGTACTTTACCTGTTGGAAGTAATTAAGAATAATCCATCAAATGGTGCTTGAAGTAGGCAGTTCTGTCCTGGATATGTTCTACTTCCACTTTACCTGTGGAGAAAGGAATAACTGAATAAGTACCAGTCCTTCTTTTATTATGAAATATGGAATAAGGACCTAGATATCTTCGAGACCGCCTGCTGCTACCGACGGCCTCCCATCGACCCGTGCGCTCCCACAGAGAGGGCCTCCTCGGGGTGCCATCAGCCAAACAATGTAGGCTGGTGACCCCCAGGGGGAGGGCCTTCTCTGTGGGGGCACCCACCCTCTGGAACCAACTGCTCCAAGAGATAAGGAGAATCCAAGACCTCGGTGCCTTCCGCCATGCCCTTAAAACTTTCTTTTTTCAGCAAGCCGGGCTGGCTTAACACTTTTAAATGTTTTTAATTGGTTTGTCCTTGTTTTTTAATTACAGGGCCAAATTTATATATATCTTTTTAATAGTATTTTAATGTTTGTAGTCTCTGTTTTTATTTGGCTGTACACTGCCCTGAGTCCTCAGGGAGAAGGGCGGTATATAAATTTGATATAAAATAAAATAAATAATAATAACAACAAAATATAATCGGCCCTCGATTTACCACTATAAACGAGCCCAATATTTCTGTTGCTAAGTGAGACAGTTATTTAGCGAGCTTTTTTAAAATATGCCACTATCTCGCTATCCAAAGCAACTCCAAATAAAGTCTAGATATTAATGGATGAATTAAAAAAATCATTGAATATGTACAATCTGGACATATTCCAAATATTGGGCTGGATTTTTTGGGGGGGGGGGTAACCTCAATGCAGCTTTCTTGCTTTGATATTTTCGTACTGCTGGACATGGGTATTGAAATAGTATATTTAATAAACACATTCTGTGCTTAACATCGACTGTAAAAGTCAATTCTTGTTCTTGGAAGCATAAACACAATGCTTCTTTTCTCCACATGGAGTGGAAAAATCAAAACAATTGTGACCACGTGACTTCTGTAAAGGGGAGAGAACAAAATATTCTGATTTGAAACTTCTATTTAAATAAGAAAAACCAGAAAAGGCAAAGCAATTTTTTTTTACACGTTTCGTTTAATTGAGAGCAATTCTGACTAAAACTGCTGATTTTCAAAAAAATATTCAGAGAAGCTGATATTTGGGCCGGGTTCACACCACAACATTATACTAGGATTTTAAAATCATCGTTCAATGAAACACAAATGGATAGGTTTATGGACTAATAATTTTCATTGGGATTAAGATCGGACACAAACGAATAGATGACCTGCTAAAATAACCTTTGCTCGATGTTTTTAGCCTGGAGGATCTCTTGAAATAATTTTCAGATCTCATGCAGCAGCTCCTTGTGTAAAAATGGCAAAGTAAACAAAAACTCCACACAGCAATTTCACTTCTAACCTACGCAATCCGTGTTTTACAAGCTTTACAACAAGCGCAAAGCGGCAAGTGAACAGCTGAGTTGTGATGTGGAACAACAATCCCAACACTGTGCTGGTTTTGGATTGAATGTGAGCTAAAAAAAAACTTTCCTTCCTTCCTTCTCTCTCTCTCTTTCTTTCTCCCTCCCTCCCTCCCTCCTTCCCTCTCTCTCTCTCTCTGTCTTTCTCTCTCCCTCCCGCCCTCCTTCCTTCCCTCTCTCTCTCTCTTTCATTCATTTCTTTCTGCCTTCCTTCCTTCCTCCCACCCTTCCTTCCCTCTCTCTCTTTCTTTGTCTTCCTCCCTCCCTCCCTCCTGCCTTCCTTCCCTCTTTCTCTGTCTTTCTCTGTCCCTCCCACCTTCCTTCCCCCCTCTCTCTTTCTGTCTTTCTCTCTCTCTCCCTCCCTCCTTCCTTCTTTCTCTCTCTCTTTCATTTCTTTCTGCCTTCCTTCCTCCCACCCTTCCTTCCTCTCTCTCTTTCTTTCTTTCTTTCTCCCTCCCTCCCACCCACCTTCCTTCCTTCCCTCTGTCTTTCTCTCTCTCTCTGCCTCCCTCCTTCCCTCTCTCTTTCTTTCTCTCCCTCCCTCCCTTCCCTCCCTCTCTCTTTCTTTCTCTCTCTCTCTCCCTTCCTTTCTTCCTTCTCTCTCTCTTTCATTTCTTTCTGCCTTCCTTCCTCTCACCCTTCCTTCCTTCCCATCTCTCTCTTTCTTTGTCATTCTCCCTCCCTCCTTCCTTCTCTCTCTTCCTTCCTTCCTTCCACCCTTCCTTCCTTCCCTCCCTCCCTCCTTTCTTCTTTCTTTCTTTCTTTCTTTCTTTCTTTCTTTCTTTCTTTCTTTCCTTTCTTTCTTTCTTTCTTTCTTTCTTTCTTTCTTTCTTTCTTTCTTTCTTTCTTTCTTTCTTTCTTTCTTTCTCTGTCCCTCCTTCCCTCAGCTGAGAAAGGCTGTATTAAAAACAAGTTAAATTCAATCCTATGTTCTTGATTTAAGCTTTGTTTTTATCAGCGTATTGGTACACTGGATATCTTTTAGCCTCTCTCTTACCACCCAGAAAACCTTCTCCGTTAAGAGTACGCTAAGAATGTAAAAGAATCAATAAAAACAAAGAACTATTTCAACACATCCTGTGCTAGGCACGCATTGCAGAGAAGGCCACTTTGGAAGTCACCATCAATCAGCAGGAAAGTGACTCTCTGTGAATGGGGGACGATGTCTCTGAAAGGAAGCTAGACCCAGAGTTTTCGCCATCTATGGAAGCGTAGTTAGGTTTATGCCCCGTTTTACCTGCATAATCCTGATCAGTTTTAAAAATAAGGTCCCTTTCTAAAATTCCTCATGTTCCCTCCGAATTCACAATTCACAGTTTGACCCGCACCCACAACTTCAGGCAGGGGTGGGCTGCTGGGGATTCGCAGGGGTTCAGGAGAACCTCTAGCTAAGATTCTGTGCAGTTCAGAGAACCCCCAAATCCCACTCCTGGATGGCCCCGCCTACCCCTCCCCTCCCTTCCCCTCCCCGGAGTCCCCACGTGGCCCGTTTTGGATGCAGATAAGTGCAGGGCGTGCGCGGAAGCTCAGGGAAGGTGAAAAATGGGCTTACTGGAAGTTTGGGAAGTCCAGAAATGGGCCCATTTCCGGCCTCCAGAGGGCCTCGGAGCCTGGGGAGGCCGTTTTCGCCCTCCCGGAGGCTTGAGGACAGCCTCCAGAGCCTGGGGAGGGCAAAAACGTCCTCCCCCACTGTGGTGCAGCAGGCCAAGTAGGCCACTCCCACCATAGCCACGCCCACCCAGCAACCAGGCAGAGAACTCATTGCTAAAATTTTTGAAGCCCATCCCTGGGTACAGGACCCACGATTTCTGCTACCAGTTCGGTCAAACCTGTCCGAACCGGCTGAATACCACCTCTGGATAGAAGTATGGGAAAAGGAACATTGTTACAGCTAACACAATTTCAGTAGCTTTTAAGATTGTGGTCTTACTTGTCCCTTGGAAGTTAGAGGACACCATCAATCAGTGGAGGGAAGAGAAAATAAAGAAACGATACTTTTATAGGCCCCCCCCCGTTTGAAAATCGAAAGGCTGACTATTATAGAGTTCTTTCAGAAAGCACCATCAATTAACCACAAATAACTGATTCCAAATCTATTGACTGTGTAATTTGCACCATACTGGGTACAATGTAATTAGCAAACGCCTGGCTGTAATATAATTTTGGCAGAACAACCAGGGTGTCCTAACAAGATGGGGAGAAAAAAAAATGATGCTATGAGCCAAGATTACATCATCGTGATCATAGTTATTTTAAAGCACACGAAATACTCATTACGCATGAACGTTTCACCAAGAAAAGTGTTGAAAATGGAAGCTTTGACACCCAAAGTAGAATCTTTAGCAGAGACATAGGGTTGTTTTTTTTTTTGCATTTGCATTGTTACAATATTAACACTTTCCCAAATAGAATGCATCCAGTAATATTAATTATAAGAACTGTCAGATTCAAATAGTCATGAATCATTACACAGAATAATGTAAATCTTTTGAAGAAGCCTTATAAAAAACTAATTTTGCATGAACAAAGGGACGCGGTGGCTCAGTGGCTAAGACGCCGAGCTTGTCGATCAAAAGGTCGGCAGTTCAGCGGTTCGAATCCCGAGTGCCGTGTAACGGGGTGAGCTCCCGTGACTTGTCCCCGCTTCTGCCAACCTAGCAGTTCGAAAGCAGGTAAAAAATGCAAGTAGAAAAACAGGGACCACCTTTGGTGGGAAGGTAACAGCGTTCCGTGCGCCTTTGGCGTTGAGTCATGCCGGCCACATGACCACGGAGACGTCTTGGGACAGCGCTGGCTCTTCGGCTTTGAAACGGAGATGAGCACCGCCCCCTAGAGTCGGGAACGACTAGCACATATACCTTTACCTTATACTTTTCTCCTTTATTTATAAGTACAAGTAGTCCTTGACTTACAACCACAATTAACTCCCAAAATTCTGTTGTTAAGTGAAACATTTTAAAGTGAGTTTTTGCCCCCCTTTCTGACCTTCCCTGCCACAGTGGTTAAGTGAATCACTGCAGTCGATAAGTGAGTAACCCGGTTGTTAAGTGAATCTAGCTTCCCCATTGCTTGCGAGAAGGTCGCCAAAGGGGACCTTCTGTGACCTTGGGATACAGCAACGGTCATTAAGTATGAACCAGCATCTGAATTTGGATCATGTGATCATGGGGATGCTGCAAAGGTCGTAACTGTGAAAAATGGTCGTAAGTTCACATTTCTCAGGGCCGTTGTAACTTTGAACGGTCGTTAAATGAAGAATGATGACCAATGGACTTCAACTCCCAGAATTCCCCAGTCAGCATTCTGGGAGTTGGTCTATCCATGCTGTCTGGGAATGCTGGGAGTTGAAGTCCACCCATCTTAAAGTTGCTAAGGTTGAGACCAGGGGTGTCAAACTCACTTTCATTGAGGGCCGCAGCAGGGCTGTGGTTGACCTCGGGACGTGGACGACTGGGAAGGTGTGGCCAACTGGGAGGGTGTGGCCAGCTTGACGCCACTCCCTAAACTACTAGCTCAAGGTTTCCTCTTTGCATTGGGTAGACCCAGTGGTGAAATCTGAACCGGTTTGCTACTGGTTTGCTAGCTGCACATGCGC